GTAGCTATGGTAAACATGGGAAGAAATCTTAGACTCAGGTACTACAAGTTTGGGAGCTATTCCACATTAGTTGACCCAAATAATGAAAATCGTGAATTTCGCTAAAACTTCGTCTAGGGAGGTAGGAAGTCAAAATCACGGATCTGCCCGAAACTTCGCCTAGAAGGGTTACTTGGCATGCTAAACGCGAATATGATGTTTATTACGTGCAACAGCGCCATCCGGTGGAGTTACGGTAGAATTACGGAAGGGAGTCAAAATCACGGATTTGTCCGAAATTTGGCCCAGAGGGGTTATTCGGCCCGCTGATGCTGAATATCACATTGGTTTTGTATCGTAGCGTCATTTTCTTGGATTATGGTAGGTTTACGGTAGAGGTCAAAATCACAAGTCGGCAAATGCATCCTTCCTCTGTGCTTTGCTTAGGCAAAAGCCGCAGCAGAGTGTGTAGCGCGTGGCGTTGGTCGTGTGTGGAAAGCTTCACGATTGTCAAAATTACCGTACACCCGTTTTAGGCAGAATTACGTTTTACACCCGTTATCGTGTAACACTACAGTTCAGAACCAATGTGATATTTGGCATCAGCGGGCCGAATAACCCCCCTGGGCCAAGTTTCGGGCAAATCCGTGATTTCGACCGTTTACCGTAATCCTACCGCAACTCCACTGGCGCTGTCGCACGAAATAAACATCATACTCGTGTTCAACACACCAAATAACCCCCCCTAGACGAAGTTTTAGCAAAATTTTTACTTACTTAGATACTTAGATGGCCCGTCCTCACGTGACGTGCGGGTCCCAGTACAGAAAGCGAGAATCACGATTTTCATTTTTTGGGTCAACTAATGTGGAATAGTACTCGAGTTTGAATATAGCCAATCGATTCATTTTAGTCATCGGGAAAGCTTCATAGGTTACTTCTGCTAATGTTCTCGCGCAATCCAGAGTTCCGGAATAAGTCGCAAGAATTGCTAAGAACGCATGCTATACTGTATAGATTGGTCATTGAAAAGGTATAGAGGCATACATTGCTAACTTTTCTGGCTTATCGTCAAAACGGGATTTGAATTTTCTTTTCGAGAACATAGTCACAAAGACAGTCTATGCCAATGACCATTTCCTTTTCGCTGCTTCTCTGCGATTGGGCCAAAGCCAAATAGAATTGAAGGTTTTGGGAACTGCCGCATCTGCAGTTCACAGTTCTTGGGTTTGGTATCGGCGTTGGCGGGACATTAGCACTCGCATAGCCGTTACGACGTTTTCTTAATCTCAAAAAAAGACGAATCTTTCTTTTTAGCTCTCCACTTCAGATTGAGACCCTGCAATTCCCGTGTTATTGCTTTCTTGCTTTTTGGACTGCAAACTGTGAATATAGGGGGTGTTGGCCCTTCTTTTTCGTATCCCAAATGAATGGTTCTCAGTTAGTAGAAATTGGAAAATATAACAACCAACTGTCTTTCACGAATTGGTTTCGGTATTTTACGGTTCAATCAAATATACCGGAAAGAAACTTTTGAGCGAGTAGCCTAACAAGTACCACAAAATTCACGACTAATGGAAAGGTGCAAGATTTTGTAGCAATTTCAAGGGCAGCAAAGCAAATATCACTTGCGATCCTCTAACTAAGCATAACGCCGATAGCGTGACAAGCAAACTGTACGGTGTTAGCAGACAGAGCTCTTGAGTTTGAAATTTTATGATTCAGATAAAGATTGTGAAATGGAGCTTAACCAGCAACCAGTAAATCGTAGGCTTGGGCGTCCACAAATTTATGCGTCGAACGCTGACCGTCAGCGGAACTACATACCGCACTGCTGGAGGAGAAGCACAACGTGCTTTGCGGCAGATGCAACACGTCAGCAGCTCGCACGCCAACATGAAGACGCAGAGCATCGTAGACGCGGGGAGGATTCGCAACGTCATCGGGAGTCACGTGAATCTGAGAGTTTTACTGAAAATGCTGAACGTCGTTTTGCTGACGCGCAGCGTCAACGGAGACGTCGCCAGAACGAAAACAGTGAAAATCGCATGGAACGTCATTTGGCGGATGCTGAGCGTCAACAAAGACGTCGCCAGAACGAAAGCGGTGAGGACCTGCTGAGCGGCTATTAGCGAATGCTGAGCGTCAGAAAAGATTTCGTCGGAATGAGAGCACTGAGGAACGCGCTGAACGTCTTTTTGTGAACGCTGAGCGTCAGCAGAGGCGACGACAAGCTGAAAGTGCCGAAGATCGTGAACAGCGTCTAATGGTCCAGAACCAGCGTCAGCAGAGACTACTGCAGAATGAGACGCATGAGGAGGGCGCTGAGCGTCGAAGAAGGAATGCAGTGCGGCAGAGATTGCGTCGAGCGCAAGAAAACGAAGAATAAGCAGGTTATCTGCTAGAAGATTCCGAACATCAGCGCCAAGGTGGGAACCAAGAGGCATGGGATGCAGCAATGAACGTGAATCGTCAGCGTCGTAATGTTGCACAAACCCTCGGAATAGCTCTCAGACAGCGCATGACAAACATGAGCAACTTAGGAAATCTTGACTGTCGTTGTTCACATTGCGGAGCGCTATATTTTGGCTTCGAGGTAAAACAACAGCACGCTGATACGTTTGGTGACTGCTGCGACTTTGGACATTTTTCTCTGGATTTTTTTGATGATTTCCCTATTCTGATACGGGAGCTGTTTTTGGGAAGCTCATCATTGCTACAGCAACGAGAACGCCGTAGCAACTTCTTCAGCAACATCAGGAATTTTAACTCAGCTTTGGCAGTGGCTTCGATGGGCGCTCAGGTTGATGTGCCTCGAGGACGTGGGCCTTACTGCTCTCGCATAATGGCCAAGTGTACCACCGCATTGGCCCTCTTCACCCGAACGAAGAAAATGAACGGCAGTATGGGCAAATTTACGTTCTCTACCGAAGTTGCAGCACAGCAGCGTTTGGGTACCGCCCAAAATATGGACTGCGACGCTGAGCTGATGATGTTTCTGAGCGAATGGTTTGCGCATAACAGTGTTTATGCATTGTCATTCAAAATTATGAGTGAGGTAGAAAGAGCCGAAGAAGAGGCAGCACAGCTTGAACAGGCCTGCAAATCAGATTAGGATGGTTTTCGAAGAGAACAGAGAAAGAGGTGTTACTTGAGGTAGATATGCAGTCCCGACAACCAAATGAAGTTGTTATCATGTATGTTGGTAACGACAATGAAGTCCCTCCCGCCAGAAGCCTTGCAGTGCACCTACGAGAGTCTGACGGAGTTCCTTTGATGAATATAAGCGACATCGACAAGAGATGTGATCCCCTTACCTATCCACTTCTGTTTCCGACAGGAAGAGGTGGGTGGGACCCTACGCTTACGGACAGACGAGGGGTGCGGATCACTCAGATGAAATATTATTCGTACCTCTTTTCGATTCGCAACACGTTCAATCCGATTCTTTACGCTAGGAAGCTGTTCCAACAGTTCGCTGTTGATGCGTACGTCAAAATCAAACAGAATCGTTTGAACTACCATCGAACGCATCAGGTCAATCTCCGCTTTCGTACAGAGGTCTGCAAGATTATTTGGCAGGAGAGGACAATGATGAACCTCCAGGAAGCCGCGTAGTGTTGGCGTCGTCGCATATAGGAAGTCCTAGAGCCATGCAGCAATCCTATCAAGATGCCATGGCGATTGTGGCGCGCTTCGGCAAGCCCACATATTTTTTGACGATGACGTGCAATCCGCAGTGGCGAGAAATTCAAGAAAATTTCTATGAAGGTCAGAATGCTTCCGACAGACCAGACCTCACAGCAAGAGTGTCTAACGGAAAACTGAAAGAACTGAGTGAGGATCTTTTCAAGAAGCATGTCCTTGGCGAAGTGGAAGCATACGTATACGTTATTATATTTCAAAAAAAAGTCTTCCTCATTGTCATATGCTGCTGATTATGAAGAACGGCTACCAGGCGAAAACAGTGGATGATGTTGATAACGCAGTATGTGCTGAGATACCGTGCCAAGAAGATGAGCCACAAGCGTTCGCGGCTATAACGAACTTCATGATCCATCGAAAATGTGGCGTAGAAGATCATACTTCACCATGTATGCGCGATGGAAAGTGCTCGAAGCATTTTTCAAAGCCGCTGTGTGAGAGGACGTCTTTGGAGGTGGACGGGTACCCCAAGTACAGAAGGCGAAACCCCACAGGCGTCATGATCAATGGTGTCGCGTACAGTGACGGGTGAGTCGTGCCGACGAATCTGTTCCTGATAACGAAGTACGCATGTCATTTGAATCTCGAGATTTGCGGAACGATTTCGGCCATGAAGTACCTCTACAAGTAGATTTACAAAGGCCCAGACCGTGCACGAATTACGATTGAGAGTGAGGATAATGGACGTGATAATTTGGATGAAATTAAACAACACCTAAACAAACGTTATGTTTGTCCACCCCAAGCGTATAGAGTTTTTGGGTTACCCATGCAGGACAAGTCGCATACGGTGTTTAGACTAGCCGTACATTTGCCAGGTTATCAAACCGTGCACTTCGTTGCTGGAGAGGAACAACAGTATCTTGACCGTGCGCGCAGCAATTTTACAACACTCACAGCTTTTTTGAGCTGAACGAACGTTGCGCAAGGGCATTTGACCATGGAGAGCCTTCTGATTTGGTTACTGATGCGCGGAATCTTTACTACTATGAGATTCCAGAGCACTTCACGTTCACTGCCCGCCACGGATGGAAGCCGCGAAGGAGAGGAGGCAAGGAGATTGCTAGAATGTACACGGTGTACATAGGTATACCAATGAAGAAAGCTTCTGCAAAACACTAATACTTTTTTTCAAGAATGAAGAAAGCACTGAGTCACGTTGGCTTTCCGTGACTGACATATTTGAGCAAACAATAGTCAATGAGTGAAAGAAAGGAAAATTTACTGAGCAGAATTTACAAAAGTATATATCAAGATTTTGCTACAAACTTAACTCTACATTTCTTTTATTTATTCAGGTTGATTCCGAAACTAAAATGAAAACATTCTATTTACTCTGCCAAGAATTCAAACAAGTAGTTTTTGGAGTCAAGCAAGTTAGTTGCTACAGATAAATTTTGTCTAGAATACACGAATCAGCGGATACAACAACAAGCCTTAATCCATTTTAACCTCCAAAACCAAATGAGCACATAAAAAATAGTTCCAACCTCCTCAAAACTTCTTTCAGTTCTCTTGGGCAAGTAGGAGAACGAACATACACAACGAACAAATTTTTACATGTAGAAAATAAAAAGTCATATAACGGCAGGCAAAAAAGGTATCTATTAGGATCAGTGAACAATAATGTTTTAGGAAATGACACGAATAGATCTTTTATAGCTCTCGCTAAATGCCCGCGTTCAGTAACTGAAACCTGAATTCATTCACGGAATCTCAGTGTTTGGTGGATACACAACATTTACGCACTTGAGAGTGTAAGCGTAAAAACTCATAGATGTTGCATTTTCAAAAGGAGTAGTCAAGTTTTTTAGACAAAAAGTTAATAAGCCGATAAACCTTCGACATGAATTCTTCCTACAAATTGGGAGTATTTCATGAATTGTTAACTATACTGTGCTCAGCATGATAATGGCTTTTGGTTGAGAGAAGAAAACAAAGAAGTTTGTATCACCTGTATAGTTAGTGTCTTCTTACAAACCCTACATTTATACAAGTTCTTTTTTCGGTCAATTTCACCTACTTTTGACAGGAGTGAAATCATGTAGCTTTTTCGTGTTGACATAGTTATTTTTGGAGAAAGAGAGTAGAAAAGTAAAACTTATGCTCAATCCTTTGTACATTCATGTGAGTTTTCTTACCAATCACAAATGTGAGATTCTAGAGAGTTCAGCACACACAAATTTGAGTAATCAGCGTCATTTTTTCTGAAAACATGAAATGTTGCTTTCGCTTCCACTTTGTCACACCTATACTGTAGAAGTTCAGTCAATGCTTTCTACACTGGATATATACTCTACGTGCTTCATTATGGAATTTGCGATTATCCAGGGAAAAATATACTCCTTATAGTAAGTCAATTTTTACATTTTAGAGAAGCGAAAACTCTTTTGCTTGCAGAGATACTGCTACTGGAAAAAACCAAAGCTTCTCGAATGCAATAGGCTGAATGAGCACTTCAATCTTGCAACTATGCGGAACAATTAGGTTGTACCATTTCACTCCCTCTCAAAATAAATTACAAAGCTAAAGAAGTGATAGAATGTAAGAAAGTGCACCTTTTTTGCACATTCTAGAAGAATTTGAGAGAATGAAATATCATGCTCAAAACATACTCCACAACCTCTCTCAAAACTCCGTAGGTTTATCTATTATGCGAGGTCCCAAAAGATGAACCTTATGAACCGTCGAGTGAAAGGAAAAGCATTTGGTGCTTTATTCTACATTTATGTGTGAAAGACATTCGTAAGCTAACTCCTTTTGGAAAGTTAAAAAAGGACTGCATTTCACTATAGAGGCGGTAGGCAGCGGTGTTCCGCTGCCGACTAAGGGGAAAGCTATGTGAATGCCATCCCCTCAGATGCCGTCAGGTAAAGGAGAAGCGCATTCCTTAAAGACATCTTCTACAAATCTGTATCGAAGTTATTCGTAAGTTAACTCCTTTTAGAAAGTCAAAAAAGTAACTGCACTCCATTGTAGAGGAGGTAGGCAGTAGTGTTCAGCTAGGCAGCAGTTTTTAGCTGCCGAGTGAGGGGAAGGCCAGGTGTATGTGTGCCATCCCCTCATATGCCGTCGAGAAAGGGAGGAGAACAAGTCATTGTGTGTCTGCTCCCACACTGCTTTGCTTTTCCTTTGCAAGAAATTCGTAAGTTACTCCAATTTTGCAAAGCCAGAGAAAAGTCAAAGATCGTTACAGAGGGCGTAGGCAGTAGCTTTTAGCTGCCGAGTGAGGGGAAGGCCAGGTGTATGTGTGCCATCCCCTCATATGCCGTCGAGAAAGGGAGGAGAACAAGTTAATGTGCGTCTCTTCCCACACTGTTTTGCTATTCCTTTGCAAGAAATTCGTAAGTTACTCCACTTTTTCAAAGCCAGGGAAAAGTCAAGGATTGTTACAGAGGCGGTAGGCAGCAGCTTTTAGCTGCCGAGGGGAAGGCCAGGTGTATGTGTGCCATCCCCTCATATGGGGTGGCGGTCAAGATGAACGATAGCATGTGCCAGCCGCCAGCTGGGTACCGTACGCGGTGCGCTGGTCGCTCCGCCCCTCTGTTAATTAGCCTAGGAATGCGTTGCAGCTATTAAAAAACTATTAAAAAACTCTCTAATACTTCGTTCATGCTTCTTCAGTTGGTTGCAATTTGGATAACAGTAGATTTCAAAATTTGAGTTGCATTCAAAATCAGTTTTCAGATCATTTTTCATTATAGAATTAGTTCGCAAGCTCTTTCTAATGTGGTTCAGTTATTTGTTCCTAGTAGGCTTGTCCAAAATGATTTTTCATTGCAGGTATGAAAAAATTGTTTCGAAAATGCTTGGAAAAGTGTTTTTCTCTATTTGCATCTGTTACCATATTGAATACGCTTTGATGTGCACTCTTAAATTCAGTTTCAAAAAAATTCAGCTTATGAAATGAAACACCATTATATGTTTTATCGGAAAAGTAAAGAAAGTTTCAAAACCCTAATCATACCTAAAACAGATTTCCTTGCGACGAGAATTCAAGACAAGCATTATAGGCGAATCTTGTTTCAAGCGAACTAACTCGTTTTGAAAATATGCGTCATATCACATAATTTTTCTTAGGTTTCAGGAAAATCATACTGCACCTATATATTTCCGAAACTGCCTTAAATAACAAATTATTTTATTTTGCTTCCAAAAACTGCTATCCTCAATATAAATCGATCTGTAACTCAATCGAAATTGCGTGTGAACTAGTCGTAAGATGTGAGGTCACTCAGAGAATCATGCTTGAGGTGTTCTAGATTGATTTCACACTTCAAAGTTCCATATCCAGGAGTCACTCGGTCATTCATAGGTAATATACTTGGGTCCGAAACGAATAGAAATTCGATCATTCGAATAAAACATTCGAATATATTCGTATTCGAAATTCGATATTCGGAGTTCTTCCATTTTCGAATAATATTCGAGACTCGAATAATCGAAAAACAGGGTTTCGAATAAAATTCGAAAACTCGAATAATCAAAAAACGAGGTTGAATATTATTCGAAAACTCGAATAATCAAAAAACGGGGTTTCGAATAGATTTTATTCGAATGTTTTATTCGAATGTTTATTCGAATTCGTATTCGAATGCACTCCGTATTCAGATTATTCGACTTTGTTGTAGAGCCAACTGCTGAGTATCAAGCTCACTTCGCCCGTTTTTTTTTCGCAAAACTCGGTAATGCATCTTTTGCAACCGTTAACCTTTGAACTGTATGGAAAGTCGCATTCTTCCGACTGCTTGCGACAGTAAAAAAATCATATGTGGATTTTAATTGATGTAGAAAGTAGAGCAAGCCCTTTGCTTTTACATTGTTGATGCTGATAAGAAATAAAGTTAATTCTGGTGTACATCAGTCTCTTTCAGGCCATCTGAAGAAGAATCTTTTGAGCACAGCATAAAAATCTATATCGACTGCTTTTTAGATCGTCCATAATGGGTAAAATCTGACTTTTTGCTGATGTATAGACTAGATGCCGACCGACCGACTTTATCGATTTTTGGGGAAGTTTGAGCTGCGGGGCTGAGAGTTGGTACAGGGGGTAAATGAGAATGCTGATTAAAACCGAAATCTATTTTATTGAGTTCAGCAATTTTTGGAAAAGGAGTTGCTATAGGAGATACTAGGGGGCTGATTATGATTGGATCGGCTCTAGCCAGATATGTCGGCAAATTTGAGATGTGATTGCTTTAGTTATTCGATAAATCATTCGAATATTTATTCGAAATTCGGCTTCCAATGTTCGAATATATTCGATATTCATTCATTCGATATTTTTGATTTTCCGAATTTATTCGAAATTCATTCATTCGATATTTTTGATCTTCCAAATTTATTCGATAGTCGTTTATTCGAAATTTTTCCTTTTCGAATTTATTCGATATTCATTCATTCGATGAAAAATTCTCGAATTACCCAAGTATAATAGGTAAATCAGCAAATCTCTCGAATTTCACGACCAAAACATCAGCTGTTCATTGATTGCCAAAAAGAGAAACTAAAAATCAAAACAAGATTCTATAAACAGTTAAGCTTCACCCCAGCTTGCAACAAGCTTATATCTCATTATCAAAAGCCATTTTTACTTGACATATCGTCCGAGAGACTCGTCCGCCGCAGTAGGGCGGAGCTTCGAGCGAACACGTTATTGCCAGTTCTTGACCCCGCGCGCCACTGTTACCAGCTATCGTTCATCTTGACATATACCCCCCTCATATGCCGTCAAGAAAGGGAGGAAAACAAGTCAATGTGTGTCTCTTCCCACACTGCTTTGTGCAAGAAATTCGTAAGTTACTCTAATTTTGCAAAGCCAGAGAAAGGTCAAAGATCGCTACAGAGGCGGTAGGCAGTAGCTTTTAGCTGCTGAGTGAGGGAATGGCTTTGTGACTGCTATCCCCTCAGATGCCGTCCAGGGAAGGAAAAGCGCAAGTGTTGCGGCTCGGTGGGCTCTGCGCCCCCTCACCTAATGCTCGACTGCCATACGCCTCAGCTCCTGTCCCCGAAGGACTTTCGCCACTGAGGGCGCGCGCTAACTCGCAATGGCGCGCTACGCCTACACCACACACAAAACAGTAAAAATATGTAAATTTACTAAACAAATATACACGATAAATACTATAGTTGAGACGAACGAAATTTTTTTTCGAATGAACGAATTTCGAATAATCCAATTTCAAAAATTATTCGAACGAACGAATATTATTCGAATTGTGATTTTTGAATTATTCGAACTCGAATATTCGAATATTGATACTTTTCAAGAATTCGACTATTCGAATAATCGAATATTTGGACGTGACCGAATATTCGACTATTCGAATAATCGAATAATCAGGCATGACCGAATATTCGACTATTCGAATACTTCGAATGAATCTAGTCTTGGATAAACTCAGTCCGAATGTCCTTCTGTGGCAGCATTTTGCAACAGGTGTGTCAAGTGAACAAGCCAACAAGTGACGCTTAGGTTGGGTGGGGGTTGGCAATAAGTGACGCTTAGGTTTTTTTGGGGCTGGCAACAAGTGACTCTAATTTTTATGTAATTCTTCTTTTAATTCCCACTATGACGGTGAACCGTAAAGGTCCTATAAAGTCCCTTGCCCGATGAAGTTCTTCGGTGGTGTAAGTATTAACGAGTTCACGCCAAGAAACTGGAGCACGATCAACCCCTAGCTTGAGCCGCAGAAACATAACGGGTGCTAGTAGTATCCAAGATGTAGCACAACAGCAATGCTGATTTGAATGGATAGCTTCGTTATGCAGCTTTCGGATAAATGCATGCGGGGAAGTCAAAACATGTATAGTAGCCGTCATCTACCTAGTCACTGCCCTGCGTGCAAATGCACAACATTTCGAATCTCCGGATGAGGCAG